TGTGTGTGTGTGTGTGTGTGTGTGTGTGTGTGTGTGTGTGTGTGTGTCTGCCGTGTGTGTGTGTGTGTGTGTGTCCTCTGCCTCCCATAGTGCTGGGTTACAAGTATGAACAACTGCCCCGGCCTTTGTATACATTTTTTGTATGTGTCAGGGAGCCTTTAAACGAGAGCCCAAGCATAATTACCTATGAAACTGTAAAGTCTCCTAAGGTAGTTGCTTGGCTTATTCAACTTAGGACATTTGGTTTTACAGTTAAACCAAGATTTTGTTTCTTACAGTTTGACAACTTAAATGCTGCCCATGAAACCTCTAAGTTGGAAATTGAAGCTAGCCACTCGGAGAAAGTTGAATTGCTGAAGAAGGCTTATGAAGCCTCCCTTTCAGGCAAGGATGTTTTTTTTCTCTTTAAACATAATAAAATCTGATAGGACTGTGTGGTATGTTTTCAGATGGAAATGATTCATAACTCTCCCCTTCAGCGAATGTCCTGTGGCGTTCAGGCTGGAGCATTCCTGGTTGCTTTCTGCTTTGTTTGTTGTTAACAGATGCCTTTCCCACTACGGATGCAAATAATAGTTATAAATGCCAGTATTTTATTAAATAGGATGGGCTTTGGAAGATTGTAAAGGTCATTTTTGGGGGGCGGTAGTTGCCAACTTAGGTTCCTGGAAGTTGGGAGTAAAAGTTTCTGTCTTATAATCCACAGTAAAGGATCTAACTGCCTCCCCCACAAGCGCTCTTGCACAGCAGTGGTGCTGTGAAATGTCAGTGGCGCTTACTGAACAGAAAAAGAGGCTTTTTGATTTTTCATCTGTCATGAGTGGAAGGGTATAAGCCATTGCTTTCAGAACAGAATCAGCAGTGTGACATTTAGGAAGGACTTTCTCACCAGAAAAGTAGAATTGCCTGAAGGCATTCAGAGATGACAATGTGTAAAAGTGACTGGCTCTGGGCAGTCTTTTAGTAAACATTGTTTTTCTTCCTTCTTGTCCGATTAGGTCATGAAGAGCAAACTGAAAAGAGTACAGGGTTTCCAGACCAGGAGTCTGGAGTGGCATTGATGAGAACCTGCCCTGAACTGGGCGCTCAGTGTTTTTCCAAGGTCACGTGGCCTCTGTGGGCCTCAGTGCTCTCAGTCATAAAATGGGAATGGCTCCCCTACCCATCTTTCAAGGCTACTTTGAGCACAGATGGCCAGTTTACATAAAAGCATCCCATAGATGTAAAGTCACATCATATGGCTTCATAATGAACACGTACATCTGTACGCTTTCACTATTGTAGAATACATGATCTCATAGCACATTTTTGTCTCCAAAATATCCTTTTATTTTCCCAGAAATTAAGAAAGGCCATGAAATAGAAAAGAAATCACTTGAAGATTTACTTTCTGAGAAGCAGGAATCGCTAGAGGTGGGTGAAATTCAGTATCCCCGCCCTCCCCCCAAAATTTTTTTTCATTTCTTAGTTTGGTTTTAATATTTCTGTGTATATATGCTGAGTTTCTGGAGTCTTCTTATTAACTTATGTTCCACATTTCTTTGTGTTTTAGAAGCAAATCAGTGATCTGAAGAGTGAAAATGATGCTTTAAATGAAAAACTGAAATCAGAAGAACAAAAAAGAATAGCAAGAGAGAAAGCAAATTTGGTAAGTTGTGTGTGCTCCTTTATCAAGAATTTTTCTTGTCAGTTGCCGTTTGGAGTTATTTAGGTGCTCAGCAGCTACAGAAATAACACAGGTTTGGAATCCTTTTCCTGTCTGGCAGTGTGCATTCTAAGGTGTATAAAACAGGTTCTTTGGGTTTTTTGTTTGTTTTTTGAGACGGACTCTTGCTCTGTCACCAGGCTGGAGTGCAGTGGCACGATCTCAGCTCACTGCAACGTCCGCCTCCCAGGTTCAAGGGATTCTACTGCCTCAGCCTCCAGAGTAGCTTGGATTACAGGCACACACCACCACACCCAGTTAATTTTTGTATTTTTAGTGGAGACAGGGTTTTGCCATGTGGGCCAGGATGGTCCAATCTCTTGACCTCGCGATCTACCGGCCTCGGCCTCCCAAAGTGCTGGGATTACAGGCGTGAGCCAGCACACCCCGCCAGCTTCTGTCTTTATCTTTTTTTTTAAATCATCCTAAAAACTGACATACAGATGAAGTCCAGGATGTTTCTGATGGTCTAAGCTAATTTCCTACAGAAAAACAAGAAAACTACCAATTAGGATTAGGGTTTTATGTGAGGATTTTATTTAAAAAAAAAAAAAAATCACTGTATTGAGATATGATTTACCAACTACAAAGTTCACTCTTTTAAAATGGAAAATTCGGTAGCTTTTAGTATATTCACAAAGTTGTCCATTGGTCATCAATACCTCATTCTAGAACATTTTTATCACCCCAAAAAGGAACCCTGGACCTGTTAGCAGTCACACCCCATCTCCCCCAAGTCCCCCGGCACCAGGCCATCCCCAGTCTACTTTCTATATGGATTTACTTATTCTGAGGAATTAATACAAAAGGGCTTGTCCAACATGTGGTCATTTAAGACTGGTGTGTGTCTTTTACTTAGTGTAAAGTTTCCGAGGTTCATCCCTGTTGTAGCATATGTCAGTATTTGATTTCTTCTTATGGATGAAAAATATTTCATCGTATGGATAAATGGCACTTGTGAAAAGTACAAATCTCTTGGAAGCTCAAATTTCTCTTGCTACATTTGTCTGTCTCCCCTGCCTTCTCCTGATGTTTGTCTTTTTGAAAAGATTTTTTTCCTTGCTGCTTCTGCCTTTAGTCCTGCTGTTTTCGTTCCATATGTTTATGCTCTGGGACTGCAGAAGCAAAGCTTATCTCCACTTAAACTCTGACCAGCTCTGCCAGGGCATGTGGGGGTTTCTCAGGGAACCCTCTAGCTATTTGATAACATGAGATGAGCTCATATTCAAAGAAACCTCAAAGGTCTTTATTCTAGAAGATTCTTAGGAAGAGTCAGTGATTTCAAATGAAATCCAGACACTTATATGCAGAGTGTAAACCTAACTGATGGCTCAGGAAAGAGGTTGGAAAGAGTTTCCAGTACACAAAGGGGATTCTTCTACTGCAGCCGCTTTTGGAAAGCTAAGGGCAGAATCAGACGGAGGAACGCAGAAACATCCAAGTGCCTCTGCCATGTAAGCACGCTGAGGTTGTGGAAAAAGAGAGTGCATCTGAGTGCAGTCCAGGAGAACGGGGCGGGCTGGCAGAGAAGTCGGAAAGAGGACAGAGGGTCCAAGGCTAGTAAATGCTGTAATTGTCAAACCGACGGGAAATCATGCTGTTTCCCTCTAACAAAAATGAGGTTAAGATTCGCTATTCTCAAGGTAAATAAAAAATCCTTTGTACAAGGATAACATTGTATAAAATGTATGATTTTTTGAGACCTAGTTTTGTACTTCTTTCTGGGGTACATGTGATGTGTTGAGACATGCATAGACTGTGTGAGGCTCCAGTCAGGGTATTTAGGGCATCTATCACCTTTAGCATTTCTTTGTGTTGGGAACATTTCAGATCTTCCCTTGTAGCTATTTTGAAATACACATTATTTATTGTTAACTATGGTCAGCCTACAATGTTATTGAACAGTAGAACCTATTCTTTCTAACTGTATGTTTGTATGCATTAACCAGCCTCTCTTCATTCCTCCCCACCTGCCAGAGTATACACACGTAGCTCTCCCAGCCTCGGGGAACTATCTAAAGAGCCTAGAGTTGAAGATCTGAGTATCAGTCCCTGCTCTGACCCTTTCCGGCTTGGGAAGCTTTCCTGATCTTTCCTGAGTAGGTCGCTTAACCTGTGGAACATGTTTCCTCTTAGTAAGGGGTTTGCATTATGTAATCCTGGAAGGCCCCTTCCTGGATTCTCCCTCACGATTGGTCCAGAGCAGACAGCACTGCACCAAAAGATAAGCTTAATGATCCACACCACTGACTCTTACCTAAGACATGCCTTCATTAAACACATCTCTCTGATCAGTGGGTCTTAACGCTGTTCTTTTACAGCATAAATTTTGGATGGCTTAGTTGAATTTCCATGAATAAGGCAAGGAGGGGGTGAGGGGTGGTGGGGAATCCTCGCTGCTGGTGTGCTCTCAGAGGATGCCTCCGGTGATGTGGTGTTTATTTTGGAGAGTTTTGTGTTTTTGAGACAGGGTCTCTTGTTCTGTCAGCAGCCTGGAATGCAGTGCCACATGCGCAGTTAACGGCAGCCTTCCACCTCCCGGCTCAGCTGATCCTCCCGCCTCAACCTCCTGAGTAGCTGGGACTATAGGCATAAGCCACTATGCCTGGCTAACTTTTCTATTTTTTGGAGAGAATTTTAGTAGGCTGTGTACTCCTTCTGTGTAGGTACTGGGTTGTCACAGTATAAAATGATGGTATTATGTCTGCCCCAGAAGTGTGGCCCAGGTAGCACACAGCCCCATGCTAACAAAAATCCAAAGACTCAGGACCTTATTGTTATTTGTTGTTTTGCAGAGAGCCGTATAATGCACTGCCTTTCCTTTCCCGATCAGTTCACTTGGTTAGAGAGAACTCTCATTCCCCTTTCTCCTTGTTGCCTTTTCTCCTGGTAGATGCCAATAAAGGACTTGTGGATTGCCTGATCTCCCCCCAAAATTGTTTTGTATGTAAGGATTGGTTTTTCTGTTGATTACAATAACATGTTTGATGTAACCCACATTTTTGCATATTGTTACTGATAAATGAGTGAAATGTTTGCGGTATTAGGACCAGTCTTTGATATTAAGGTGCTCTTAACTTGTTCTACCTCTTTGAAATTGCTGTCAGACGATGGACATCTGTCGCTTGCTACTTGTTTGTCTAATGTCTAATCAAAGATTCTTCGTTAAGAATTTCAACTATGTGAGTGTGTGGAATAAAAGCAATATCTTGCTGTGTCCTTTCCAGAAGAACCCTCATATCATGTATCTGGAACAAGAGTTAGAAAGCCTGAAAGCTGTGTTAGAGATCAAGAATGAGAAACTGCATCAACAGGACATCAAGTTAATGAAAATGGAGAAACTGGTATGTTTCCTTCAGAATGAATGAGGGAGGATCTTACAAATGGGGTAATATCTGTGAAACTGAACCCTGAAGTTTAGAACTATGGAGTTGGGTTAACTGCTCCTAAAGATATTTGGAAATGGTCCAACAGATAAGTTTACGTTTCCTTTGCCAGGTTTGTTCAATATATATTCATTGCTGCCTGCTAGAATTTTTTTTTTTTTTCTTCCAAGGAACATGTACAACAGCATCCAGCTCTTGAAAAGCCTACAGCAAACAAAGCAGGCTTATATTTCAGTGGTATTTTGAATCTTCACCTGCATAAGAAAAATGTTTAAATATCTATTTAAAATCAGTACTTCAATATACCACCCACCCTGGACAGGTTTCTTAGGTCTAAAACAGTTGGATATATTTAATAGAAATTAATCACAGTGAAGCAATATGATCTATAGAGTTCTTCATGTTGCTTCTTGTAAATTAGCATGTGATAAAAGAATTGTGGGCTGGGTGCAGTAGCTCATTCCTGTAATTGCAGCACTTTAAGAAGGCCAGTGTCCGTGGATCACTTGAGGTCAGGAGTTTGAGACCAGCCTGGCCAACATGGCAAAACCCTGTCTCTACTAAAAATACAAAAATTAGCTGGGTGTGGTGGCACACACCTGTAATCCCAGCTACTGAAGTGGCTGAGGCAGGAGAATCACTGGAACCCAGGAGGCAGAGGTTGCCATGAGCCGAGATGGCGCCACTGTATTTAAATTTCAGCCTGGGCGACAGAGCAAGATTCTGTCTCAAGAAAAAAAAATGTGCTATAGTAAGATTAATCCACTTGGACAAGTAGCAAGCATTACCAAAAATATGAATAACGTTTAGTTTGCAGCATCTAAAAGAGAGAACGATGTTAGTGTGTGACGAGTCTGACCAGAACCGTGTGAGTGGCATGCTTAGTGTTCAGCGTCAGTCTTGGCCCAGCCCTGAAACACAGCTGCTGCCAGCCAGGACTCAACCAAGTTGGCAGGGCTCGGGAAGGCAGTGTAAGTGATCCCAGACCTTGCGGTGCCTTGCTGTTGACCATGCAGCCGCTGCATACCGCTGGCCTCTTCTCCCCTTAGTGACGACTGACTCAGACTTCTACAAGTGCTTCATTCAAACCCAAACCAATCCCGGACAGTAGTGGGCAGGGGGGCCTCTCTGCTGGTTGGTGTCTGTTGGTTTGCATTTGGTTTTATTCTAGAGACTGTTACTTCTATTGAGAGAGAGAACAGCTCAGCCCCTCTGTTGGATATACAAGCACTTTGAATTATCAGAAAATGTTTGTAAAGGAAGGAAAGGAACTCATGGTTGTTAATGAGCCCAACTTAGTATACATACCAGCTCCTGCCAAGGTCATCCTGCTACGCTGGGTCTGATACCCTCTCATCTGGTAGTCGGGATGGCTCAGATGATGCTGTTAATAGTTGCTCTATAGGCCGTTCATGCATCAAAACTTTCAAAGACTCATGTACAATGAAACAGACTTTCCTGTAAACTTACCGACACATTTAATTTTTATTGATCTAGTATTTGTTTCTTGCCATGCCCAGGAGGTATCCTGATAATACCTGTCAGCCTTGCATTGTGTATGTGTGAAAGAATGGGTTGATACAATGACGGGGAAGCACACTGGCTTTTGATGAAATTAAGAGACTAAGAAGCACAGGGAGTTTTCTTTCTTTGAGACGGGTGTCGCTCTGCTGCCCAGGCTGGAGTGCAATGGTGCAGTCTCGGCTCACTGCAACCTCTGCCTTCACGGGAAGTTTTCTAAGAAAGACGGCTTTGCCATGAAACTAGCCCTGCCCATAATCAGCTCTGTGACATTATCAGGACTAGTTTCCCTAGGATGAGATAACAATTAAAGGACAACACCATGCAGTCTTGAATTCCAGGTTTTTCCACATTGTTTTTATCTTGGATTCCTTCATAATTACCGAACATTTCGAAAATCCCTTTTTCTTACATTCCAGACTAATTTTCCGGAAAGTTATTTCACCTGAGTGGCTTGTTGTCCTGAGCTGCTTCTGGGTAATAGGATGTCTTAAGAACAGTCGGGCTCCAAACTAAGCACCATACTCAAAGCATGTTAGTCATGCTACAGGACACGGACATAGACTTAATTCTGATAGAGCTTTAATATCGCCCCTTAATAAAACCTTACCTTTAGAAAGTGAGTGGGGGATGGAATCGGCTCTTCATCAGGTAAAGTGATTAAATGTCCTCAGGCATCTGATCCTTTAATCTCTCAACTGATCAATTTGTTTGCCTTGAAAGTTCGGCCTGGGCAGGAAGACAGGAGAACAGACCTATCTTCAGCTGACCTAAGGACAGCGAGGCCTCCTGGAGTGTTACTTCTTTCATGCCATGCTCTAAGAGCTCTGTAGAATTGCAGCTCTGTGTGGCCACTCAGAGGCAAGTGCTGAAGAATTACCATGAATCTGAGTTCAAGTCCGTAGTAAAGGTTGTGAAGTACTGTGAACTGTTGGCCCATGAGTTTTCATCAGATGTGGGAATCTTCCCTTCTCACCCTAAGAAACTATGTAAACTTTGCTAAGTGTGGGCAGCCTGGCTGCAGGGTTTGTTTCACATTGAAACAAAAAGAGGCACCAATTCTTGCAGAATTCCAAAACAACGTGACCTGGAACAAATCCACTACCCGTATGAATATTTAAGCAGCCTGACATACATTTTTTTAAAAATATCCGGCTGCTCCGTTTTGCTGTTTTGGATTCTTTTTGCATTCTTTTTAGATTCTTTGTGTCAGTGTGTAATATTTCAGTATGCCATTACATTGTCCTTAATGAAATCTCCTAAGTGTATTTGTGTTATGAGGTGCCTTAAGAAATGAGGGGATTTTTTGTAATACTGTATAAATGTTGGAATTTTTCTTTATGCCAAGGTGGACAACAACACAGCACTGGTTGACAAATTGAAGCGATTCCAGCAGGAGAATGAAGAATTAAAAGCTCGGATGGACAAGCACATGGCCATTTCTAGGTAACAATAAAGCAGTACTGTTTCTCCTGAGCTCCCCGTGGGTGTTACTTTCTGGCCAGGCTCTACCCGTGTACCTCCTGGAAATAGGAGGGAAGCAGATGGTTAAAGGGGCAGTGATTTCTATCTGGAAAATGTGATTGTAGTAGTTCATGCGTTTACCAAAGTGGCCTGGACCAAGTATCGAGACCCAGGCCAGCAAGCCTTCTCCCCTGGCCTCTGGCTGCCTCTGAGAATGCTTTCAGACAAAAAGCAACACAAAACCAAATAGAAAACAGCCCCAAATGTAATATAGTCATAAAACATGTCGCATATTTGCAAAAGTGGCACTCAGCCTCCTATGAAATTGCCCAAAAAGTACAATTTTTTTTTATATGAGGTCTCTGTTGCTCACACTGGAGTGCAGTGGTGCGATCTTAGCTTACTGCAACCTCTGCCTCCCGGGCTTAAGCAGTCCTTCCACCTCAGACTCCTGTGTACCTGGGACTACAGGCGCATGTCACCAGGCCTGGCTAATTTTTGTGTTTATAATAGAGACAGAGTTTCACCATGTTGCCCAAATTGGTCTCAATATCCTGGCCTGATGTTATCCATCCACCTCAGCCTCCCAGAGTTCCGAGATTACAGGCGTGAGCCACCGCGCCCAACCTGTATGTGGGTTTTCTAGGCAGCCAAACACCTGTGACTTTGTACACGATTCTGTTTTGTCCCAAAGGAATAAATTTGGACTTTCAGATTTCAAATGCTAAGACACATTTTTCAAGTAATTTTTTTACATAGATGGAACATGGCTTCTGGCTTTTTTCTTCAAGGCAACTTTCCACAGAGCAGGCGGTTCTGCAAGAGTCATTGGAGAAGGAGTCGAAAGTCAACAAGCGACTCTCCATGGAAAATGAGGAGCTTCTGTGGAAGCTGCACAATGGGGACCTGTGTAGCCCCAAGAGATCCCCCACGTCCTCGGCCATCCCTTTCCAGTCACCGCGGAATTCTGGCTCTTTCCCCAGCCCCAGCATTTCACCCAGATGACGCCTCCTCAAAGTCAACAGACTCTCTGAAAACATTTTGATACAGGTCTGCAGGACTGACCCCAGCGAGGAACATGGGCACAGAGCTCTATCAGCACACGTGTGATCACCGTAGGGTAACTGGAGCCATCACCGCCGCCGGAATCAGCAGCTTCTGAGACTGGAACTCTGGAGGAAGACTTTTGCCTCAGTCCAAAAGATTCCTCCAAACACAGATTTCGGCACCGACACATGGACGTTGTTGCACAAAGCACTTAAAGAACGAGAGAATCTTGTTCATTGCCTTTTTCACCTAAGCATAGGGGGAAAACTCTCAGGGGCCTATTCAGATGAAGATTTCTAACCTTTGTTACGTTCTTCACCACAGAGATGTTTGTGAGTTTTTAGTCTGACTGTGGGGGTGCGGGTGGGGGTGTGTGAATGAAATGGATGTCAGAGTGTCATGTGTCTGATGCAGCCTTCTTTGCTGTGTGTTAAATGTCAAAATCTGAATATATCTGGATATGTACTAATCAAATAGTAGTCACTGTATACATTTCAGCCAAAGCCATAGAAGAAAAAGCAATAGTTGCTTGCATTATGATCATCTACCGCCAACTCTGCTCAGCCCTGTAAACGTGGTAGGGAGAGAGTATAACAGGAAAAGCTTCAACTTGTCACTGTCTGTACATTCTCTATCTTTTTGGGGTAACTTCTTGGCAGTTTCGGTGTTTAGCCATGTCAGTTGAAACTAGTTAGATTTTTCTGTAGATTTTGTACTTAACCATGGGAGCCTAACACTGTCCTGTAATCCATTTTCTCAGGCTATGTGTAAATGTAGAACCGCAATTTTTCTATAAAAAAACTGTATAAAGAAAAAGGGCAGTACCAATGGTTTTTTCTGCCTTATTTTTACCTTGCTCTTGTCCTGAGCTGTCCTTGCAGATTTAACCTGTCTTCTTCTTCTCCCATTATTCTCATTTTCCTTTTACCTTTCTCCACCATCCAGAGCCACAAGCAAACCTCCTGCCTCCTACCTCCTTTTCTCTGGGACAAGGATAAAGGAATACGCTTTTCCAGAGCCAGCTCATCTTCCAGGTGCTCAAATCACTTTCCAAATAAACTGAAGCCTGATTTGATACTACAAATGTTGGGAAATCTTAGAATAAAGAACAAGAAAGAGGAAGTCATTGGCTAGTAGAATTAAGAAAGGTAGGATTCAGTGCTTACCGATGACTAGAAGCGCCTTGATTAAACTGATGTCGCAGCATTTGATAGAAGAAACAGTCTGAGGATCATGCTCATTTTTCCGGGACCCTCTGAGGAGTCCCTATGTTTGGGAAGGTAGCAAAATGGCCATCTGATGAGTGGAAAATGTGGCTTGTCCAACTCTCCTCCAAGTTGCATTTCCATTTCTTTCCAAAACTTATTAGCTCCCCTGATTTTGAGACTTTGGAAAAGGTGGAAGGAAGAATTGTGGCTTTATATCCCCCTCCCTGCATGTGTCAACACTGTGATGTCAGTATTTACTAATCTACATTCAGTGGCTGTACAAATAACCGCTGTAGTAAGATAATTCAGGATACTAGAGGTGGATTTTTGAGTCATTTACATGTATACTACATAGCAAGTTGATATTCATGATGCATGTTCTTTTAGTGATTGTGTGTCTTAAGTCATTAACTTCCAATAGTTTATCATGTATGTAATACCTTCCATGTTTGCTTCTGATAAATGGAAATGTAGATTCACTGTCACTTCCTGGGATATCTCTGCTCATGCTTCCAAGTTGTTCTCAATGACATTAGCCAAAGTTGGGTTTGCCATTCCTCCCTTACGCATGGTAAATCTTGTGTTGTTCCCTGCTGTCCTCCGTACTATGTGACTGGGAAATAAATCTTACAGCAGTTAATAAAAAAAGTCTTCGGAGGATGGGAGAGAACAGGAGAGAAGATAGGAAACAAAATAATAGAGAATTTTTGAGAGTTTGTTTAAACCAAATGTTTTATGTAGGATGCAACATGTTGGCACGTCAAAAATACGGATGTGTAGACAACTGTAGTTGTGCTCAGTTTGTAGTGATGGAAAGTGTATTTTACTTTGATCAAATAAATAATGCTGGAATACTCAAGAATTGCATCCTCTGACATACCTCACTCTTCAAAGTGTTACCAAGCGCACAGCCTTTTTAACAGCACAGGAACGATGACATCGCCTCTTATTTTCCAGGAATTTCCACTGCAACCACAGAATAGGTCATGGCCTGAAACTTGGCTCACTGGTACAGGTAGAGCTAAGCTTTTCTTTTCTAAATTCAAAGCTGTGTTTGAGAAATAAATTTGGCTGGTTTTAACAATTTCTGCTGTATAAGAAAATTGGAGAAACCTGGTAAATATTTTTGAATATGATAAATGTCTAAACAGAGTTGAATGTTCTTAATCTATGCATCTATTTTATATTGAAAGCTAAACTTCTAAAAACAGGTTCTATTGAATAGACTAGAATTAGTACCCTTGAGTGCAACAGTTTAAGAAAAAAAAAAGCATACATGATTTTTTTCAATACTTTGATCAATTATCTCACATTTGCTTTAAAGTTGCTAAGACAAAAATGACATTTCTAAGCATTTGAATCTGGAGTTGCTGTTTATGGATAAGTAGTCAAACTATCTAGTACATTTTTAAATTCTTCTGTATTGTGGTGGTTATATGACAGAGAATACTTGGTATTGACCCAGGTATCCCCACCACCGAGTCTTTCTGGATGTATTTTAGGCCAACTTAAACACTTAGCTATTTTTTTTTTTTTTTTTTTTTTACAAAAACTTGCTCATTTAATAGAAATGATTATATAAAATTGTTTACACATATATAAAAACTAGGAACACATATGTAGGTAAGCAATCAAAATGCATACTTTCTGTTAGAAACGTTAACACTTCTGTGAATAGACTGGATGACTTCCTCTTAGTTTGGATATCTGGGTCGGGCTCACAAGATGCTGGGGTTGGGGTTTGGTGCTTCACATCAGCCTCTGGCAAAGCACTAATCATAAGAACCCCAAAGCTGATAGTCTACACAAACGGACTTTCCGTAAGTTCATGACATTTCCTTTTCCAACTCAGGAAAACTCAACAGTGGTAGCTACTGTGGTCTGTCCTTGAAGATTCTGAGCAGTGCAAATGTAATATCCTGCATCAATAGTCTCAAAGTCTTCCACTGTAATGACACTCTGGGAGATTCTCGTGGTGTGTCCCAGTCCTCTGTGGATCAGCCTCCAAGTGTCTTGGATCGTCACAGGCCTTTCATCCTGTTTAATGACACCCACAGAGACTGAAGCATGAGGGTCAAGCTGCTATAAACAGCTCCCATTCACCCAACACTGTTGAGGGTTCCTTTCAAAGGGCAAAGCACATGCTTACAAAAGACTGTTTAGTATGCGTAGCTCATAAGCTGTGGAAGCTTCTACACTGAAATCATTTTAAGCAAACAAACAGAGCCTTGAATTTCATTATGTTGTTTGGTGCTGTCTTTCTGCCCTTTTCTTCTCTAAGTTTCTACTTAAGCTAAACTTTATGCATTTAAAACTCCAAGAAAGTGGAACTGGTATTAAGCATCAACAGGGACAAATTTTCCACTGGCCACGCTTTTCACATTGCCCACTTTCTTTTCCTAGCTAAGTAGTTCTACTTTACAGAACTGAAAGTCAGAAGCCTGAAAAATACCCACTGTAAAAGCTCCCAATTGCTCAGATTTGGAAGAGGGAGAAGTATGATTAGGCTAATGTGCCGTAGGACTCTACTGGGAGAAGAGCTGTACCAAGGATGGGTAAGATAATGTACTAGATGACATGATTCCTATTTCTAGAAAGTGAGATGGTCACTTTTGAGATGTCCAGCCAACTCTGGTGATAAGTATTTTCTGAATTAGTTTAACAGAATTAATATATTACTAAGTAAATACCTTTTCTTATAAAATACCACATAGCAATGTAGAAAGAAAAAAACCATCCCTACTGAAAATCATCAATGTCCTGTAAGTATGACCAACACTTTTGATAATCAAGCACCTAGTACCAAGATGCTGGAAAACACTATTCCCTAGAGACAGTTATTTTCCACCAATCACAGCCCGTAAGCCAGAAGGATGTCAGCTACTGAATGTGTCTTGGAGAGGCCAAATCTCTTCTGGCAACAAAGGGATTATTCCATGCTGGTAGCGGAGCTGTTACTTTAGCAAGCAGAACATGTACAAGGGCTAAATATGCTGCAATTGCTTTTATGAGAAGTCTATTTTAAAATGATCTCTGGCCTCACAGCACCTTTTTGGCAGGGTCGGTTTCTATGCCCACTTGGTGGATGCCTGCTCAGAGCCGCCTGCCGTGGGCACAGCTTGTTTAGAGAACACTCTAGCCAAGTGAAACACAGGGGCAGAAGGAAGCAGCAGAAAGAGCCCTGTGGGCACACTCCGTCCCCAGGGAAGCCACTTCTGACTTTGTCTCACAGAGGTCCTTGGGGAGGGCTACCAGATAAACTGGGAAAAGACCACAGGGAGAAGAAAACGAGCTGCAACTCTGTAAAAATGTTGACTGAACACAAAGTTTCCTGTACAGAACTCGGGTGAGGGGATGAAGCAGGAGTGCAGACACACACAGAAACCATGGCATGTAGGGAGATGTGAAACCTGAAAGCCCTGTCTGCTTTAATTAACCAGGAGACTGGTAGCCTGGGGCAGATTCCCAACCCTAATCACCCACTGCCTAGAAACAAACTCAGTGCTGTGGACGGGGACAGAGGGAGTGAGACCATCCATTTGGGCTACGTAGGACCTGGGTGAGGCCTGTAACTGCTGGCTTTCCCCCACTTCCCAGGTGACCTGCATGACACAGCAGAGCAGCCATAATCCCCTGGGGAACATAACTCCATTGGCCTGAGAACCACACCCCCATCCCCAACAGCAGCCATGGCGACCTACCCATGGAGAGTCTGAGCTCAGACATGCCTAGCCCCGCCCCCACCTAATGGTCTTTCTCTACCTACCCTAGTAGCTGAAGACAAAGGACATAATCTGTGGGAACTCTAGGGTCCTGCCCACCACCTGATCCTCCCTATACTACCACAACTGATGCTGTCTTTAAAGTGTCACCTCCTGGCAGGAGACCAACCAACACAAAACTAGTGCAATAAACAAAACTACAACTAAGGACCCTCACAGAGTCCATTTCACTCCCCTGCCACCAACATCAAAGTAGGTGCTGATATCCATGACTGAGAGACCTGAGACATCACAGGACTCTGCAGGCAACACTCGGTACCAGCCCGGAGCCCAATAACTCTGCTGGGCGCCTAGATATAGAAGAGAAATAACAGTCACTGCAGTTTGGCTCTCAGAAAGCCACACACATAGAAGGGGAAGAGCACTACATCAAGAGAGCACCCCACGGGACAAAAGAATCTGAACAGCAGCGCTTGAGCCCAGATCTTCCCTCTAACACAGTCTACCCAAATGAGAAGGAACCAGAAAAACAATTCTGGTAATATGTTGAAACAAGGGTCTTTAACACCCACAGAAGATCACACTAGCTCACCAGCAACTGATCCAAACCAGAAGAAATCCCTGAATTGCCAGAAAAAGAATTCAGAAGGTCAGTTATTAAGCTAGTCAAGGAGGCATCAGAGAAAGATTAACTCCAACTTAATTAAATTAAAAAGACACATGATATGAAGGGAAAAATCTTCAGTGAAATAGATAGCAAAAATAGAAAACAATCACAATTTCTGGAAATGAAGGACACACTTAGAGAACTGCAAAATACACTGGAAAGTCTCAGCAATAGAATTGAACAAGCAGAAAAAAGAACTTCAGAGCTCAACTGTAAGATTTTTGATTTTACCCAATCAAACAAAGACAAAGAAAAAAGAATTTAGAAGACTGAAAAAAGCCTCCAAAAAGTTTAGGATTATATTAAACAACCAAACCTAAGAATTGGTGTTCCTGAGGAAGAAGAGAAATCTAAAAGTTTGGAAAACATATTTGAGGGAATAATCAAGGAAAACTTCCCCCACCTTGCTAGAGTGCTAGACATCCAAATACAAAAAGCTCAAAGAACACCTGGGAAATTGATCATAAAAAGATCATCACCTAGGCACAGAGTGATCAGGTTATCTAAAGTCAAGACGAAGGAAAGACTGAAGAGCTGAGGCAAAAGCACCAGGTAACCAAAAAGGACAACATATCAGAGTAACAGCATATTCCTCAGCAGAAACTCTACAAGCTAGAACAATTATCAGCCAAAAATTTTGTGTCCAGTGAAACTAAGCTTCATAAAAGGAAAGAGACAGTCATTTTAAGACAAACAAATGCTGAGAGAATTCACCAGTACCAATGCAGCACTACAAGAAATGCTAAAAGGAGCTCTAAATCGTGAAACAAATCCTTGAGATACACCAAAATAGAACCCCCTTAAAGCATAAATCTCACAGGACCTATAAAACAAAAACAAAATAAATTTAAAAATAAAAACCAAGGTATTCGGGCAACAAATAGCATGATGAATAGAATAGTACCTGACATCTCAACACTAACACTGAATATAAATACACTAAATGCTCCACCTAAAAGATATAGAATGGCAGAATGGATATGAAGTCACCAATCAAGTATCTGCTGTTTTCAGGAGACTCACCTAAAACATAAGACTCAAAAACTTAAGGTAAGGGAGTGGAAAAAAATATTCCATACAAAGGTACACCAAAAACGAGCAGGAGTAGCTTTTTTTTTTTTTTTTTTTTTTTGAGACAGAGCCTCACTCTGTTGCCCATGCTGGAATGCAATGGCGTGATCTCAGTTCATTGCAACCTCCGCCTCCCACGTTCAAGCAATTCTTGTGCCTCAGCCTCCTGAGTAGCTGGGTTTTCAGGCACAAGCCTGTCTTATATAGGAGTAGTTATTCTTATATAAGACAGAACAAACTTTAAAGAAACAGCAGTTTAAAAAGACAAAGAGGAACATTATATGATGATAAAAGGACTTGTCCAACAGGAGAAAACATCACAATGCTATTTATAATATATATACACCTAACACTGGAGCTCCCAAATTTATAAAACAATTACTACTAGACCTAAGAAAT